TATACTTTTAAAAATTCTTATTTTTGTCGAAGTGTAGTCGATTTATAGTGTTAGTTTCAGGTGTACAACAGAGCGGCTCGGTTACACACACGCGTGTGTATTTTTTCAGATTCTTCTCCACTGCAGCTCGTTACAAGAAACTGAATACAGTTCCCTGTGCTCTGCAGCAGCATCTTGTTGTTGATCTGCTCTGTACACAGGGGTTAGTGTCCGCTGACCCCAAACTCCTCCCCATCCCCTTCCCCGTGGGCACCCACAGGTTGCTTTCTGTGTGCTGGCGCCACCGCCCACAGAAGGACTGGCTCGTGGTGCTCCCCGGGGCTTTCTCGTGACTGGCAGGCAGAGACCTTGGCTTATTTATTGAACCAACTCCGAACAGACTTTTTGTGAAGGGAGTAAACGTGTGAATGAGGGAAGGACACCCCCGGAGTCCCTGGTCATACACGAGGCTTCCGGGGTGCTGCCAGCCAGGGCCCCCACTGCTCCCCTGCTTCAGCGACACGCCCGCCCTTCATGGACTGGCCCATGTTAGGCAGCGAGTAAAGCTCTGAGCATTTCAGTCACGTTCACACTCTCCAAGTGACTCACTTTTTCCAAACCTACATAGCATTTTATTGGCTTTAAAGATGTTTTCACGATTTAAAATAATAATAATGTTTCCGCAGAAGAACTTTTTATTAAGAGTTTAATGATCCTGGAGGCTCATTACTTTTCTTTCTTGAAACATGGAGCCGAAGCGCCTCCATCCTAGATCGTTTTTATGAAGCTAATTTTCTCCGCCACTGAATTGAGAGAAAAACCTCTTAATTCACAGTCAGACATCACATACGTTGCATTAAGACTTAAATATGTACGTACACATTTAAAGCAGCCATTTTCTGCACCACAGAGCAATACAACATACAAGCGGGTATTTTAAAGAACCAAAATACAGAAACTGAAAGGAGTGAGTGCTGCGTATTTTCAGTTGGTCAGGACTCAGGTTTAAGACACTAAAAAAACACACTCAGCCCGAGGTGGTTGGTACAGCTCACGTCACACACCCGGTGTGAAGGCCGTGTCACTCAACAGCATCTGAAGCAAAGCTGACACTGTACCTTCCCTGTCACTGGTGCTGATGAGGCGTGGGGGTTACCTGGTCCACCTCACTTTCTAGCTACCGTGCACACAGTGCGAGGGTTCTGCTGGGGACTGTGTCCCCCGAATTCCCGCGTGAAGTCCTGGCCCCCGAGGTGACTTGGAGCCTTTGGAGGTAACTTGCCCAGGGGGGTGGGGGCTCGTGAATGGGATTAGTGCCCTTAAAAGGAGACAGCTGGGCAGTGGTCTCCGTCGCCCTCCAGCAGCGGGCACATGGTGAGACGGCAGCTGCCTGCAGGCCAGCAGGGGGTCCTCACCAGGACCCAGACGGACAGCGCCTTGGCCTTGGAGCTCCTGGCTTCTTAACTCTCTCTTATTCAAACCTCCCAGTCTGCGGTATTTTTGTTACATCAGCCTGAGCCAAATGAGACAGCTTTCCAAGACCATCCCAGCAGAAGGGGGCCCGGGGAGGCCGAGGGGAGGCCGAGGGGACCGCCCTGTCCCCGTCTGCCCAGCACCAGGCGGGCGTTGCTGGACGTCCCTCTCTGAGCCTGGGAGTCCGCAGCTGCCTCCGAGACGCCGCCGCAGGGCAGCTGGGCCGACTCTGAGGGCCGGGGGGGAGGGCCGTGGGGAGCTCGCCCTGCAGGTGCCGGGTAGTCAGCGTGGCCTCAAGGGGGTGGAGGGCTCTGTTTATTCTGTTATCTCTTAATTTTATTTTTTCCTGAAGTGTGGTTGACTTGCAATGTTAGTGTTTCAGGTGTACTGTTTATTCTTGTTTGTTTTTCTCTTTCCACCTTATGGGGGAGAGTGACTGAGAAATGAAATTCCCGTTTTAGGGGCGAGAGGAAGGGAGAACAGAACAAAGTGAAGGCATGTTTTATCATCTTGATGGACCGGGAGCCACAGACACACTTCCCCCCGACCCCCAGGGCCCTGGCTCTCTGCGTCCTGCGTGAAACTGGGTTCTGACACCCTTTCTTTCAGGCACTAGGAGGAAAGGCATCTGCAGAACTTATGGGTGACTTTTAATGGGAATTTACTAAATATGTGCTGTTGCTCCTCTGGAGAAAAATCCTTGGTCCTACAGAGTAGTGTTTATTTAGGACGAGAAATCCACTTTGGAATGTGGCTGCATCACAGCCCGACCCGGGCTGCTCCTCTGCGTCACATCTGCCTCGAGGACCCGGCCACCAGGCCCGTGTGTGTGGTTTGCAAGGTGATGAAGGTCCCCCTGAGCCTCCTCTCCCGCCTGCCTGGCCACCTTGGGAAACACCAGCCTGGAGCCTCACTCCCACCCCAGCCCCAGAGCCTGCCCTGGAAACCCGAGCCGCCCAAGGAATTTTCTGTCCATTCCAGCAACGCTGAAGAGCCCCCATGTCTGGCCTTTGTGGCTTTTTTTGGTGGGGAGGTAGTTAGCTTTGCAACGGAGGCACTGGGGATTGAACCCAGGACCTCCTGCGTGCTGTGCACGTGCTTCTCCCACTGAGCTACACCCACTCTCCGTTTCCTTATCTGTAGAAGGGTTGCCCCACCTCTGTTCGATTGTTCTAAAAATTAAAAGTCATACGCGTTAAGGCAGGTGAAACATTGCTGGGCACATAGTTTTATTGTTTCACATAGCGTGTTCCTACAATTCAGTGAGTTCTCTCTTTAATATTATGATTTTCAAACTTCTGGCTTCATAGATTAAGCCATTCATTTTATTTACTAACTCCAAAGACATAATTTGTATACAGGTAATTGTACAATGTATTGTTACCAGCCGTAAATGACTCACGTCTAATAATCACAGAATGAGTAAGTAACCCACAGGATATTTTATTAGAAAGCAAACATGTAGGAAAAGTAAATTCATGAGAATTTGTGTTTGGAAAAAATGACAAGAAAAGGACAGAATACCTAATAACACATACATGTTGATTTCGTAGGTAGCCTTTGAGTGTTTAAAGATCAGAAGCAGTAGATTCCGTTTCACCCTTTCTGGTTTTGCCCTGGCAAATTGTCATTTGAAAGGAGAAGATACAGAAATGAGACACTGCGATCCCCATAACAGCCAGGTCAGCTTTAACGTGCCTCCAGGCCCTTCCCGGAGACAGGCGGTGCTGGCTCTCAGGCTGTCTGGGGAAAACCCTCCAATGCCGTCAGCGCCCCTGGGACCCCCCTAGTCTAAGAAAACAATTCTGAGACACTGTTTCCTTAAATGAAAGCGCTCTTTGTGTTTCAGCCTTTGAAGGTGGCCCGAGCACCTATGTTGCGCCACCACAGCTGCAGTCAGAGTCCCTGCTAAGAGCCTTCCAGGGAGGAGCAAAGCTTGTGGAAGCCTGGAGGAGTCCAGAGGCCTGGAGAAGATGGTTCACATCAAACAGCACAGGGGGGAGGTGGGCGTAGCTCAGTGATAGAGCACATGCTTAACGTGCACGGGGTCCTGGGTTCAAGCCCCAGCACCTCCATTAAAAAAAAAAGGCACTACAGTGTTAAATAAAAAGGAGGAGATTGTTGGTGAAAAATATTTTAGGTTTCCTTTTAGGGGCATGTACTGGGACATGGTGGGTGAGATATTTTAGAGTGTTTATTTCTTCCTCGAATGATTTAGACTCAGCTTATCAGCAAGGTATTTTTAAAACTGTGGGCAAAGCAAAGAAAGCCAGGGGTGTGGTTAACACGGATGCCTTTTAAAAACTGCATGTTGTGATGGTTACATGTTAGAGATTCAATAATTTTAACATCTAATAATCCCCTACGTTAAAATATTTTGAAAGTATAATCATATCCAAGCTAGTGTTGAGCACCTTTACATACTGTAAACTTTAAAAATTAACTTGTAAGCTGATTTATTGACCACAAAAATAGTGTTCGGCTTACCACTCATCACCATGGTGCTTAACCTTTGTGTTGTAAGCATGTGAGCAAGATGTTAGTGCGTATATATTTTTTTCCTTCTAACAGATCAGATTTGGTATAATAATACTGATAGCCCTGATTTGTATACTTAAAAAATTATATTTGGAAAGATACACTACATTCCTTAGAAAGGCCTCTCCGATATTTTCTTTCCGTTGGCAAATTAAAAGGGAAAAGAAAAGCACCGTGACAGCCGAGAGGTCTGAAAGAATCCCCTTTACTAAAAACCGGTTTACGGCCTGAGTTGAAACAATGAGATGAGAGGACGTCTGGCAGACACATAGGACTTGTTTATGTTTTGGTTGCAGTTTAATAATTTGCTGATTGCATTATAATCACACGCATACATTTGCTTAACTAAATTAATGCCCTTAAATCACAAGTTGATTTTCGCTAACACATAGCCCGTCCCTTCTCCGTCCGCGCTCCGAGAAGGGCCACTGTCGGTAAGCACGGTCTGGGTCACTTCTTCCCGGCGAGCTCCCCAGCCGCATCCTGCTTCTAGACTACAGAAGGCATTATCTTTCATACATATGTGGAATAATGAATAATGCTTCATAGAATAATGTAGAATAAATAAGGACATGCCTCATCTAGCAAAGACCTGCAGTATCCTTGTGTGACTAAAAGCCACCGTTACTGAGGCAGAGAATTGCCCTGTTGGTCACACGCTGGGCACCTGTCTCCCTGGCGCCGAGGCTGCCGGCTTCCAAGGGCCAGCAGCTGGACCAGCGGTGGCAGGATGAGACCCGGGACCCTGCCCCAGACCCAGATCTGCAAAGCCTGTGGAAAGTTTGTGACACGTCTTTACCCGCCTGAGTCAAGCATTCACCCATTTTTAGTAGAAAATATTATACAAACACAAAAATGAGGCACAGCCCACTGCCCAGAAAAATGTCTGTGCCGTTTAAAAATAAAATGAAAGGAATACACCTGCAGTAGAAAATGCAAACAGTATGGAGGGGTTTGTGGTGAAAACAATTGCTTTCTGCTTATTTCTACTTCGTTCTCTTTCTATAAAGGCCGCAGGGTCATGAAGGCCTTCCCGGAGAGTTTCCTCTGATAGAAAAACACTGTTGTACTTCACATCTGAGATGAGATGTTCATGAATGGACCTGTTCTACTGGAATTTGAGCACTTACTCCTCACAGCTTCAGGCAGCACCGTCTCACTTTTACAGATGAGGAAATTGAGATTAGACTGATGAATTTACCGTAAGTTATACAGCCAGGAAGTGGTGCGACCGGTTCCGTGCCCCAGCCCCTCGCTCCCAAAGGTATTTTTCCCACTGGATCAGTTGGGGACAGTCAGAAAGTGGAAACCACACCAGTTACTTCAATGGAGAGAATTTTGGTAACAACTGTTAACTAGTACTAGTTAACTAGTACTGAAGGACTGGAAACTCAGAAAGGTGGACACTTCTTTCTGTCTGCTGGACTACGCAGGTGATGGCTGGAGCCTTGGGCACCATATTGGACCTTTAGGTAATCTTAAAGATAAAAACCACAAGACTCAGAACTTGAAGATTAAAGAGCAGCAGGATAGAAAGTTTCAGGAAGTCAAATGACTGTGGAGTTTATGTGTTTAAATCCAATAGAAAGAGAAATTCTGGATCTAGTAGTATAAATTTAAATTATGTGACTCCAAATCTAATTTTACAAAGCAGGCTCCCTCCAATGTACAGAGCCCCAATCACCAAGATTTATAACAAGAAAAAATAACAATAGAGTGTAAATTACACACGAAAAATAAACATGTTCATCCTGGTTAAGTCACTGTCCTCTGGGGCTTCCTTTATGAGTGACCAAGCGTAATCCTAACTATTCGTGGGGAGAGGACTCCAAGAACCTTTAGTAAACCGCCTCAGGTCACGCAGCTTGCTAGAGCCAGAGCCAGAGTTCAGATCTAAGATACAGTCTTCCTCTGTGCTTCCTAACGTGTTATGTGAGACTGAACAACAACACATAACAAGTTTATACCAGTTCCTATCAGTTCAGTGATCCTGTTGACTCTCCACGCCTCCGCCAGCATCGTTCATGAAACTTAAACGAAGCAGCAAAATAAGAGATCAGAGGTTAGGATCAAAGCAGGGCAGGACTTTTTTCTTTAAAGTTGAAAAACCTATCACCCAGATCATCGATTGTTCTAAGTTCTTTAACTAGGGCGGCTGTCGCAGCTCGGCAGCGAGCCTCCCTGGAGCAGGCTTTCAGTGCCTGGGCTCCGGGCAGAGCAGGGCTGCGGGGGGCTGCGGGGGATCTGAGCGGTCCGGACGCTGCTGCTGGCGGGTCTGGGGCCGACGGGGGAGCTCGGCGGCGGCGCAGTCCGGGCGGGCAGGACGGGGCCCTGGGTGCTGTCCTGGCGCAGGGGCAGCTGCGGCGTGAGGAGCGGGGGCGCCACGGCACAGACTCAGAAAGGAAACCGGACGAGAGGCGGGAGCCCTGGTCAGCCTTTCTCTCTGAATTCACCTGACGCCCCACGTCCTTCGGAGCTTCAGGCAGGATAGATTCTTTTTACTGATTAGCCTGTATTTTGTATTTTAAATAGTAGGGTCTAAATATGTAATTTGAAAAGACCGCGTTAGAATACGCAAATCTAACCCAAAATGACAAGAAATTTGATTTCAGCCTTCTTAGATTCACTGTCACCATGTTCACTCACGGTCTCGCTTGTAAGCCATCCTAGCTGTGTGAGGATGTCTTCGTAAATGAATATAGCAGATTAGTGTCATTAGCATAATTGTAACATAATAAATTAAACTTTGTATTTTGTTTAACACTTAAAACATGTATTGGTGAGTTAGGTACTGATTAAAAATTATGGCACTAAGTCCTTGATTTAATTAGTAATCTTTGACTTGAAAGGTGCAGTTGCTAGGTAATAAAAATGCTAAATTGAGGTCATTTAGTCATTTCAAAGAAAAGGACCCTGTCTTTGGTCCCATGAAGTCTCTAAAAGGAATGCTGTTGAGAAAAGACAAATGGGGTGAGAAATTGTATATACTGATGTTTCAGTTCTTAGTCTGGCCATTCCAGCGCAGTGCGGAGGTGCAGTGGCACTCGGGCTGCTGGTGGAGGCATTTGAAATGATGCAAAGGGAAGCTGGCAAGAGGAACATCGTGGGAAGCCCAGGAGGACGGATGCGGCTGGAAGGATGTACCGGGACCAGCAGTCTTGGGACTTAGTCAGCATCGGGCCTCCACTCGGCCCTGGGCCAGGGGACGATTGCCTCTGGCTTGGTGACCGAAAGGTAGGCTGGGGCACTTCTGAGAATGAAAGAAGTTTCTAAGTTTAAAAGAACTGAACACCCATCAGTTTTATTATAGTGGTAGACCTGTAAAATAATTACATTAAAAATAGATTTCAAATATAAATTTTCTTTAAAGAATAGCGCATATTAAAGAAAACATTTAAGCTACTTTATATCGATTATCTGATCATTAAAATAAACATAAGAAGGATCATTATTCTTGGTACATATTCAAACATTTAAATTTTTAGACATACTTTTTTTGATACGATGGCACTGGCTTTTTTTCAAAAATATTTTATAATCTTATTATTATGTTAAGTTTTTTAAAATGAAATTGCCTGCGGCTGTTTTCCAAGCTGCATTCAGAATGAGCAAAGTGGAAGTTGTTGGTGGTTTCCACTGACTTCTCTCCATGGACCATAATTATGGACCAGAATTTTTTTTTTTCGCTTAAAACAACATTTATTTTCTCGCGGTTTCAGGTGTCGGCCACTCAGAAACAGCTCAGCTGGGCACTTCTGGTTCACAGTGTCTCCAGAAGTTGCCGTCCAATACTCTTAACAGGAAATTCTCCCCAGATGTCGAAGAACTTAGCAATCGCAGAGGAAAGTCTGGATCTGGTCGCGGTGCAGGGGTGGCTCACAGCCTGTCTGCACCAGCTGCAGCGTGGTTCCCGTCCAAAGAGAGGCTGCAGCTGTCAAAATGCACGAGCATTTGCGAACGTCGCATTTTGTTTAATCTGTAAGTGCGTGTGTCCTGGAGAGGGAGGTGTAAGTGAAACCACTTCTGGAAAGAGCCGGGAGAAGACAGGCTACCGCAGAACTGCCCGCACAGCAGCCTCTGCCCACCGCGCGGGTGCCCCCCGCCCCGGTGCAGGCAGGGCGTGCAGCCGTAGACGCACCCCAGCTCACTCTAACGCACCTATTAGACCACTTCGTTTAAAGATTAAAAAATCCAGGAAAAATGCCAAGCCAGAAGCTTCCATAAGGACCATAAGGACACTGGGCGTGATTTAGGACTGCTCTGGGGGCACCAGCACAGATGGCCACGGCACTTGTGTCCATCATCGCTGTCCCGGAGAAATCTAACAGCAGTCAGAGAAGTCATTGTAAATAGTAACAGTAAAAAAATGGAAACAGGTGAAATGAATTTTGATAGTATCTTTTTAACCAGGAGCTTCAAAATATTAGTTTTAAAGGTAATCACCGTGAAGTCGCTGATGAGAGAGTCCACGCGCTTCTCTGCTGCGCTGTCTGTGCAGTCCCGTGTGTTTACCGTCAGGGCATCTTCCTCTGTGGCCAGCCGCATTTCAAGGGCTCCGTGACCGCCCGTGCTGAGTGGTCACTGTACAGGACAGTATGCTATTGAAGACAAGCCTGTGGTTACAGATGTGCAGGGACACGGCTGAAACTGTCCGCTGGTGAGTGGCAGCAAGGGTGGGGCCCGGTGCCCCTGCCGCCCCCACTTTTCTCTGTGGAGGCAGCTTCCTCCTCAGCCTTGAGGCTGCACGTGGCCCCTGAGGTGATCCCCGCCCCCAGGCACTGCCCAGGATGGTGAGGGGGCACTTCCTCTTCTCCTGCCATCCTGGGTCCACGGCCCTGGCAAGCAGCCACCCCGCGGCCACCTTCAGCCCTAAGGCCGCAGACGGGTGTCTGGCCTCGCCCCGGGAGAACAGACGCAGGAAGAGGAGGGCGAGTCTGTCCGCAGGTGCAGGCAACTTGGGAGAGGAATTCTGAGTCCCTCACGTCCGGAGTGAGGGGAGGGGACACCGCAGGAGGGCCTGGGTCTAAGGATGAACTGCGTTTCATTTTTATCTCCTTCGTAAATAACCTGCTAAGAACTCAGCCTCATCTGGAAACGCAGAATTTCTGCAGACCGTTCCGGAAATGACCTGAGACGTGTTAGCTGTGATGGGTTCAATTCTACCCTTGTGTGACAGCGCCCTTCTCTTCCAGCGTGAGCCCTGCGCTTGGGCAGCCCTAGGCCCAACCCGCCTGCTTCAGGGTGAGTGACTCGGTTTCCTCCCCGCTGGTGCCCTCGTGGGGCTCGGTCGCTCCAGTTCAGACTGTCCCCAGCCGTGCCCAGCGAGGGTGCCAGGCCTGGTCAGGGCGCCGCCGTCCCTGACCCCGCCCCCGGTCATTTCCTACACACCTGGCTGAAACCCAGAGCCTCCAGGTGCGTCCCAGCACACCTGTTAGGGAGGGAGGGTGGGTTGAACAAGCTGAGATTTAGGTTTGAGATTGCGCACCCCTAGATTTTGTTGTCTTTCAGTTTGTCAAAGATCAGAACTTTTTCATGGTGTATCAAAGTCAATTTGCTGAAGTACTTACATATTTTACTTGCATCGTAACTTCTGTGAGGAGGAATGAGGATTTTTAAATGCTTGTAGCTCATAAGAAAACACACTGTCCATGTTAACAGTTAACAGCCTACTCGAAGCAAAATCTTTGAGGTTTTCATAGTTCATTGTGACAAGGCAGTTAATGGAAATCAGCCTCCTGTCAAAAAGACTGTTTATAACTTTAACCAAATACAACTTTCTACAACCAATGTGCTTAAAATGTAGTTTCTTGTAACAATCAGAATCTTAAGGTTACAGATCCCTGAAATGACTAAGGTGAACCTTTCATTTTTATTGATAAGTTTTTGTCCTTTTAATAAACTGACAGGTGGGAAGAGATACACAGACATACAAAAGCCTGTTTTTTTTAATATAATACTGGGCAAATATTCAACAGTCGTCTTTCTTTTCTTTCTAAACAAAAAACTGTCGGTCCACCCACCTCTTTGTGTTGCTAAAGCACACTTTTCAGGGTTTTCTCACTTGGTGAGAAACTTGTGATTCTCAGTTTCAACTATGATTTAAATCAAGGTTGAGTCAGAGAACTTGGGACCCATAATCATTCTCGCCATCACCTGCTTCTATCCCCTTAATCATTCTGATGTATTTTTTTAAAGATAATTGTTTTTCTGACATTTCCATATCATTTTTGTGTGGGTAAGTGACAGAAAAGCACTCTATGTATTATATGTGTACATATACGAATATACATTATGACCGTGACTCCTTTAGTATCTTTCCCTTTTTACATTGTGCCACTGAAAGTTTTTTGTTTAGCTGGATTGACTCCAACATCCGAAAGTGCCGATGCCGCCAGGAAGCAGGCGATCTCACAGCTGGATGACTGACCGGATCGCGCCCGGTTTCTGCGACACAGGCAAGGCTGAAGCTGGGCGTACGCAGAAGCTGCAGTGACCCGTCCTGGCCAGGAGAGGGGGGTGTGTGGCCACTTGTGGTTGAGCCGCGGCTGTTCCAACAGGTCACGGGACCGTGGACCCGCCTTGTCTGGACGGGTCACAGCCTCAGAAAGGCTTGTCTAGGTCGGTGTCCAGTGACGGGGGTGACTGAAAGGAGGACGCCCGGCCGTCTGTGCGGGCCAGGCCCACTCCGACGTCAGGGGGTCCTCCGAGGAGCTGGGAAGCCCCTCCGGGGCTCGAGCACTGGGCACCATCGTGGCCTGTGGTCACAAAGACCCCCTGGGATGCTGGGTGCACAATTTATTTTACAACGGAGAACTTTTATATATTTAATGAAAGTCTTTATAAATTGGGAGTTTGGGATTAGCAGATACAAACTACTATATACAAAATAGATAAACAAGGTCCTACTGTACAGCACAGGCAACTGTATTCAATGCCTTGTAATAAACCAGAATGGAACAAAAATCTTCGTAAAATTACATCACTGTGCCGTACACCAGACACTAGCACAACACTGTAAATCAACAGTACTCCAATTTAAGAAAGTAATTCAGAAACACAGTAAAAAGCGTAACAGGAAACTACCGCCCCTCTTCAACACAGGTCAACGTACTTTCCTAAGAAAACACCCTCAGACCTTTTCTTAGGGTTTCACGGGTTCAGAGTTGAGATTTTGTTGACAGGAGGTAGGAAGAGAGAGATTCCATTTGACGCCAAGTGAGCGGAGTGTGCCGTCTAGTTTAAGCAGCGTTGATGATGTTTAAACATTTCCATCATGTTCACCACATCGTGTGACCTTAAGTTTCTGGTACTGACCTGCACGTTACAGTACGGTACTCAGGAGTCAGGGTGTTGGGTATACAGCTTAGGAATAACTTTCTAAAATATAGTTTACAAAGTCAAAACCACGTCTTGTGAAAACAGTTCTGAAAGGGCAGGTGCCTGGATACGTATTTCTACAAACGCACCTTTTTCGTACTTGGCACACTCTCCTCTTTCTTGGCTTCTGCTCCGTGTCTCCCCCTCTGCCCTCACACTGTCCCGGGAGGTCTCAACCCTGAGTGGTACCGTCTTCCCATCAGCGCCCCTACGCACTGAAGTCCAACTGGAGGTTTGGGTGAGAGATTAGGTCGTCTTACGTTCTCACGGAGTTAAACAAGAGTCTGATAAAAGTACACATGCACATTCATTTCTGTTGTATATATATTCTAAGAAGCATAAGATGACGTCTGTATGTTAGGGTTTCAAGGCGCCAACGCTGCGCAGTCAGGAGCACCCGTGCTGGACGTCCCTGGGCGGCTGGGACGGGTCATCACTACGCAGCAGTTTGTGCTTGTTGATGGGCGTTTTTCACCGTCAGTGTTGAGAACGGATTCACTTTGTATTCTGAGTTAGAAGAATTAATTCTAACAGATACTTCTATACGACACAGATATCTGGTTGCATGTAGACACACAGATCTTCCAGGACTCTCTCTTGGGGAAAATGGAAACACCAGTTTATGGTTCCTGCCGAACAGCGAGATCCAGTGTTTTGAGAATGCTGACTGTGGTGAACAAGCGAAATGAAAATGACCACTTGTGTTTCCCTGGTGCCAAGCTCCTGATGATCCAGGAATGGTCGTCTGTACCACCAGCTCCTTCCTCAGCCCCCTGAGACAGACAGCCCTCCCGGCGTCCCTCTGTCCATCTGGGGCCTGGCAGTGCCTTCTCTCTCTGCCCCTCTTCCCGCCCGCTTCTCCCCTTCCAGCTGCTCTCCCTGTGGCCATGGATATCGTTTTTCATAAAGCCCAGCTCTGATCACAATTCTGCCTGAAGAAACGAGCCACCAAGCTGGGACCAGGATGCTAATCTTCATGCTCTGGGGGCTTTCAGGACTGGCTCTGGCCAGTCCACCAGCATCAATTCAGGCTCTGCTTTGAGCAGAAATCCACACATGATTGGTCTTGTGGAGACTCCGTGCATTTTAAGTCTCTGTGCTCTTTCTGCTAACTCTATTTTTCTGTGCCAAATGTCTCTGCTTCCCTTGCTTGGCGTGATGTGACATACCCCCCGGCCTGAGTCAGCGGTCACCGCCGCTCCAGGTGGAATGAGTCCTCTCCTGTGGCCTGTCGCTGAGTGTCCAGCCTCTCACTGTGCACCCAGCCCCTCCGGGGAGCCCGGTGTGCAGAATGCAGCGCCGGCTTTGGAGCAGAGGGCTGGATCCCTGACCGCTGCCTGCAGCCATGTGGACTCCACGCGCCTCGCTTCTTCTGGGCCCTGGGAGCGACCTGTTTCCTCGGATGCTGCTGTTACGAGAAGTGATCGGCAGGTGCATTGATTGTTCTCCATTCACACCAGCCACAGCTCAATCTCTCTAAGGTTTTGTTTGTCCTGTGTCTTGACTTCCCCGCAGACCCAGCATCAGGCTGGCGTCGGGTAAACTCCCCAGTGTCTACTGAATGCACATTAGGATATATAAGCAGAGGTTAATTACAGGAATTGACAGAGAATACAACTGAAATAGGTACATTATACGCCCTTAATATCAAGCACATGAACTCGAGTGGGGCATGCAGTGCAGCTGACGCAGTGGGAGAACCTCATCTTGCCATTTTTGGGATCAGGCATTTTCAATCTGACTCCTGATTAGGGAGATGAGCCAAACAAGCAAACTCTGCTTCCTCGATTAGCTTGGACAGAATAATTTCCAGGATGAAGCAGTTTGCTTCTATCCTTTAAACTCAGAAGTCGTAACCCAGAGAGGTCCTCAATCATTGGAAATTTGCTGAAATACAAAATCAGACCTGATTCAGACCATTAATGCCAGCGCTCCCGATGCTCTGTTCGGCTCTGATGGCGGCAGTTACAAAAGAGTTCCTCCTGTTGGCTTGGAAACTCCAAGTTCTTTGGGATTGTACCCAACTGCACATTTATTAGACCGTATTTTCCCCGGTCTAAGTGCACTGGGGGACTGGACAGATCGGCGTGGATTACCTGGCATCCAGCATCACCACGACTAAGCGGATCTGTGAACCTGGAGGGGGCAGATGTCACTCTGTCTGCCCAGTGGCTGTCCTTCCCTGGGCCCTGGCACTCACACAGCTCCCCACACTCTCCAGTCCTGTTAGGGCTGCAAGTCAGCGTTTCCCCTGCCCTGTGTCACCAGCTGTGACCTGCCAGGCCAACAAGATGCTCTCCACCATCCCAGAGCCCGTTCCCAGATGTCCAGGTGTCCAGCATCTCCGCTCCCAGGTCTCCAGAGCTGCCCGGGGTTCCCATCAGCCAGAAGCCCAGCTCTGTGGCTCCACTTCCATCCTGAGAACCAGGTGAGGGCCCGAGGCCTCTTTTCACTTGTTACGAAGGCTGAGTTCCTGTTGCTTATGACCAGAGAATCGTAACTAATACATTTAAGGAAATTTGCATTAAGGGAAAATATTTCAGTCTTAATCAACGTCGCGTGGCCCTGCTCAGCCCGCCGTATGATGACGAATGTCTAACGACAGACGGGCCCTCCTGCCTGCCCTGCTGAGCCTCGACCTTCTCATCTAAAAACAACGATGGGAAAGTGGCGAGATGGACTGTTTTTTCACAGCCTTGCTGTGACAGCAAGTGCTTTTCAAAATGGAAATGAAACTGCTTTTGAAATCACAAAGCACTCTACAAAGTAAGCCCTGTGTTTACCGCTCACTTATTCTTGTTAACAAACTTTTCCTGAAAAACAAACTGCTCCGACAGAGCGATCTACGGCGGGGCCGTTTTAGTGCTCACAGCGCACATTTCAGAGAAGGAGCCGAGCGCTCCCTACGTGCGCCTCTGCGCATCGAACGTCCTGAGCTCGGCAGACACGATGCCTCCTCTTTAGTCTGGTTTGCAGTCGACCCCTGGGGTCACACGCCTTCATTTTAAAGGGCACACACAGCAACTGGTACAGACGTAAGAGAGGTTCTTCAGAGAGATCTGGGGGGAGAATATAATAGAATTCTATGCAAACATGGAATTTTAGCAGATGACACTGATCAGCGGTTTCCATCGGCCTCTCATTTCCGGGCTTAAGTGCACCCCAGCCCTGGCGGTGTCCTTCCAGAGGGGCTGCGACGTGCAGATTGTCAGCCAGAGCCCAGCGCCTCCACCCGCACTGACGTCTCCGTAAGTGAAGGAGACCTGACTCTTCTTAAACCATGGACTGGCTTCCTTCATTCTTAAAATGCTATTTTTATCCCTTTATTTTCTTTCCCTCTTAGCTTTACTGATATAATTGGCCTGAGACATGGTGTGAGTCTAGGGTGTGAGTCATTTCACTGCACAGCAATGAAATGATTACCGTAATGGGGTGACACAGTTAGTTACCATGCCCATCCCCTCACTTAGGTTCAATGTGCTATTTATTTATTTATTTATTTTTCTGGTCCAGTTACTCTTCCATGTGCCAAATATGGCCCCACATTCAGGAGTCACAGCTATGACACTGACACTGATGGACTGATGGCAGTGTAACACTAACGGTGGGGCAGTAATGGCAATGGTGTGATGACAGTTATAATGCACTGCCCTCTCCTTCACCAGGAGCAGCAGTGACCAGGTATGACAACGTCTCTCTTCTGCTCAGACCCTCCGTGGCTTCCTTCTCTCGCCCAGAGTCCAAGCCAAAGCTCTCAGCCGACCCACAAGCCCCTCCCGAGTCTGGCCCGGGCTGCCGCCTGGCTGGCTCTCCACCAGTCCCACTGTCAGCATCTCTGGTTCAGCCTTGTGGCCTCTTCCTAGGTCCTCGTGAGTCCCAGCACATTCCTACCCCAGGGTCTTGGCACTTGCCAGTTCCTCTGCTTTTCTCCCGATCTTTGCCTGGCGGGCTGTTACTTCTTTCAGACTCTGATGAGTAATAGCCACGCTCATCCTGGTGAGTAGCTTTCCACAAACACCCCAAAGCTGAGGGCCCAAGGAGATCCTTAGCCAAAAAAATGGCGGTGCTGTTCCCATTCAGACAGAAATACAAAGCTTTTACTTCCTGTGGCTGCCAGCTTTCGGTTCTCCTTTGTGACAGCCCCGCAGCCTCTCCTGTGCGTCCGGCCAGAATCCTGAGTCTCAGCCTTTAGCTAAGCAATCCTTCCTCTCTGGGTGTTTTTCCTCCACCACCTTGAAGAACAGCTCAATGCAAAATCTTCTGTAAAACAAAAAAGGAAAAGTAATTACCTAACTGCTGAGAATGATTTAAAAGAGACCAGGCAACAAACATCTCCACATGAATCACATAAAATTCTAATCTTTCACTTGGCTCGAAGGCCAGATTCCTAGCTTCCTTCTCTTCACCTAGAAATAAGAGGGGAGGTTTGAAGTGGGAGGACACAGCTCATCCGTGACACTGGGCTGGGTGGCCACGACCAGGTGAACCTCCACGCCAGCGTGAGGAAGACTTAGAAAGGCCGGAGTCTACAGACTCACCAAGAGCAAGGGTGTCCTCTGGTCCTCATCAGGGCAGTGAGCGCAGAGCAGTGGGTGGTGGAGACGTGCTGGGCCTCCCGGGACGGAGGGAGCAGGACCAGACGTGCTGAGGGGCGGGCGGCTGCTGAGCTCAGGCTGCCCCCCCACCCCTGTCCCCCCGGGGCTCTGGGAGGACCTCGGATGAGGAGGTGCGGGCCAGGAGGAAGGCTGGGCTCCTGACAGGAGGAGCAGCTGGGGGGCAGTCATGGCTGGACCCCGGGTTCTCTGCTCCCCTGCTCTGCGCCACCAGCCCCTTCCCCACAAGGACACCAGTGTTCTTCCCCCACGAACACACGGGACCCACGCTCACCAGGCTCCACAGAGGTTGAAGAACCCAGGAGAACTGAGAGCAACTCCCCGGTGGATTGGGAGATGCTGCACTCCTCCCCCGGTGGGGACCCTGGCGTCCCTTCCGGCTGGGACACGGGGCCTCATCTCTGGAGAAACCAACAGCCTCAGGGAAACCCTGAGACAAGGGACCTGGGGGCCCCCAGCTCCCCGGGCTGATTGGCTTCCAAGTCCTGCCCACTGAGAAGAGGTTCCGAGAGATCTGTCACGTCTTGCTCTTAGTTGTGAAGGAACAGCCAGCAGTAAACTCATAACCTCAAGGACTAGAAAAGAAAAAGGTACAAAATGGGGGAAAAAAACCCTCAGTCAGGAAACGGCAATGAAGCTGCTAGAATAAAACAACAAAACTATGCTTAAACCCTTAGAGAATAAGAGATGACCTTTTAGTCAAGAAAAACAAAAAAAAACAAAACAAAAACAAAAAAAACGCCACACGGCACAAAGAGGGAACAAGAAAGAGCTCTGTCCAGAACACGCAGAACTGAAGCTGAAAAGCTCAGCTGAAGGCTCGGAAGATGGAGCAGAGAAAACCTACTGGAAGAAATGAAAATAAAATGGAAACGAATGAAAAATGGGAGCAGAAGCAATAAGAAAATAAGAAAAACAGCGTCCGAGTTCCAACGTCTTTTAAAGAACTTCGTTAAAAGAGAAAACGTGGGAGAGAGACAAAGATTTTTTTAAACGCGTTTTCCCCCAGAGCCGAAGACCACTGGCTTCTGGTGTAAACGCCTCTTCTCCCGCTAGCCTGATTCCCCCAAGACGGAGCGACGAAGAAAGGCGTCTAAACATCCCGCGAGGTTAAAATCGCGCTCGCGGCGAGCGGAGGGTCAGAGCGCCCCGGTGCTTCCGAAGGCCGCGCTGGACCTGAGAACGACTGCGGCGCAGAAAGCTGCCCCTTGGCGGCCGAGAAGAGGCCACACCCGCGGCAGGCGCTGCGATCCGCAGACGCACCCCCGCGGGAAGAGGGCGCTGCCCCGGCCGGAGGAACCCGCCGAGCGGAGTCAGACGCGGGTCCCGGGCAGGGCTGTGCAGCCTGGGAGCCGGCACCCCGCTTCCGCCGGAGCCCGAGGCTGGGGCCCCCAGGACGGAGGAAACGGGAACCCGCAGCCCACTGGCTGGTTGGACCGTGTGCAGAGTCCCGTTCAGGAGTGTTTAAACGGCACTGCTGGGACGTTTCAGCAGAATTACTGATAGGGACCTAGGAAAATTAAGCTAATGACAAAAATGAGGCAGTGGAAATATTGCACAGACAGGAACACGTGTTTATAGTACGCAGATCGGTTCAGCAGTGAAGCAGTGCTCAGGAAGGCCGCTGGTACTCACGCAGGCTGCTGGTACTCACGCAGCGTTCATACTGGAACCTGCACCTATCCTGAAACTGCTCCAACAAACTGCAGAGGAAGGAACACTTCGAACTCATTCTATGAGGCCGCCGTCACCCTGATACCAAAACCAGACACATATATCACCAAAAAAGGAAATTACAGGCCAGTATTACTTATGAATATAGATGCAGATATCCTCAACGAAATACTAGCGAATCAACCCAGCAATGCACTGACAGGATCACACACCACGATCAGGTAGCATTTATCCCAGGAATGCAAGGACTTTTCAGCATCTGCAAAGCAGTCAATGTGATGCACCACGTGAACAAACTGGAGAAGAAAAGCCGTGTGGTCATCTCAGTAGATGCAGAAAAAGCTTCTGACAAAGTTCAGTAGTGAAATGCTGGGATATGCTTGCACTGGGGGGAGAAGGGAGGAAACCTGTGTTGGGGGGGCGGGACAGCACACAGAGACCCAGCTCATCCAGATGGACTCTTAGCATTCTCACTAACGTTCACCCAGGGAGATGACCAAAAACGGTTTTGCCAAGTGCAGGACAAAAAGTCTGCCAAGTGCTAGGTGGTGCCAGAGTTTGCACAAGGATCCTTCAGATGGAAGGTGGGCTCAAGTCACGCAAATACTTCACAGGGTGTCTTTGAGAGCTGTTCTAGTTTCTGCATACAAATGACAACTTGTGAATGTAATTCCTCTGTCTTCTAAAACACTGTGATTTCCAATAGCGCTCTCCTCCACTCAAGCCTCTTGGAGGGGTGGCGTTCTTTCCATAAGGCCACAGGGCAGAATTCGGTGTTAACCTTGGGAAGGTTCCTCATTAACTCGACTATAGTGAAACCACGGTTGAATTTTTAACTTCTTCTAGAAATGAATCCCTCGAGCTGAGGGTCTGCAGCGTGAAGTCAAAGGACTGTCTGGAGGTCGTCCAATCTGGAGTGAGTGCAGACAGCAGGTTCGGGTGATAGACGTCTCCAGGTAAACATTTGGAGCTGGACTTACTGAGTTAGCTTCCACAGTTGAAATCAGCCTGACAAATTTCGTGTCAGCCCACAGCCCGCAGCACTTGGGAGTGGGCTTGGCGGTCTTTCAAGATTTAAAATGTTTCCAGCTCCCCTTAAGCCATCCCAGCACTCAGAGCAGCCAGATGTTCCAGAATCTCGCGGAGGAAACGCAGCGAGTAGCAGGTCTGTCACAGCGGCGGGAATCCCAGCGGTTCAGGGCTGATCTTGTGCCTGGAGAGCCCAGGAACACGACCGAGCACCCCTGGCGGGAGCCCCGCTCCTCTCTCGGGCATGGGCAGCCCTGTGCTCTGGGCTCTGGACCGGCTTCTTCTCCTGGCTGACCTCTGGGTCCCTCCCACTGCCACCGCCACCAGCAGGAGACGTAATTTAGCATGTTCCAACGTTCTGTCTGCCTTCACTTCTTTCTAACCCCAATTTAAGAACCCCTTAAGCTTGAGCCCCCTCACCCCACATCCTCTTACCCGTTAGCATTTTGTTGTCATTGTTCTGTTTCCCCCAAACGCTCCTCCAGATGGTTGAGCCATCAGCCATGCTTGGCGATTAGCTTCCTGCCGCCTTCCTCGTGGTGCTGCTGGAGTGGCGTGTACTCACCACTTCCCCCGCAGCCAGCTCTCCGTCCTCCAGGTGACTGGATCCCCGGGGCCCCTCGGTGCTTTGGGTGCTTACAGCTTGTGTTGGAGGTGGACACTCAGCCCACAGGTAGAGAGTCTCACCCGAGAGCCCTCGCAGACGGCCCCCTCTCTCACCGCCTCGGTCATGCTCACCAGTTGCTGCCAGTTGTCCTGACTCCTTACCCATTTTGTGGGCTTACAGCAATTTCAAATAGAAACAGTAAGACAATGTACATAAGAACAATGAACTCCAGAGGTGGGCCTCCTACCACCAGTGCCCAGGGATGTTTTCCGCGGTGGTGGATGCCTCTGCACTGGGCTGAGCAATGTGGCAGCCTGTCCTGATCCCAAACCCGCCTTCCTTTCCTCCTGCTGTCACCACCTGTTCTGACTCTCATGCGCTCCTGCCTAGAGTAACTCACAGTGGCCTCCAGTCTGGTTTCCATGCTCAGATTTCACCCACTGACCCCCGCCGCCAGTCCATTTGCTGCGATGCCAGCGGAATAAACACCCTTCCTGAAGCTCATACCTCATCATGTTATTCTTCTGCCTAAAATTCTTAATGGCTCTCAACGAGCAATTTCTAAAATCCTTTGCACGACATTTGAAACACTTGAGAACTGAATCTCTGCCTGTATCTTGGCTCCACACTAGAGCTGGTGACCCCTGGTGGCCTCATGGGGGTCTTCCGGCTTGGGACCCTGGCCCTGTCCTTGGGAGGCCTTCCATGACACGCCTACTCTGTCCCTCCTGGGGACCTAACATCGTGTTGTTTATGTCACAGGCTGTAGCGGATTGTTGCTAACTCGCCCGATTTCCTGCTAGAGTCCAGACGAGGGCCCTGTGCGAATGGACCATCTCTCTCTCTTTTATTCATGTATGCTTTGCTCACTGAAGTATCGTCGGTGATAGTGTCTGTTTCTGGTGTCCGGCTTCATGTTTCAATCAGACACTCGTTTTCATCTCTCTCTCTTTTAAATTGAAGTACAGTTGATTTGCAATGTTGCCTTCATTTCTGGTGTACAGCAAAGTGGTTTAGTTGTATGTGTATATGTATATATTCCTTTTCTCCCCAATTCTTTTCCATTATATATTATTACAGGATACTGAACATAGTTCCCTAGACAGCAAATCCTTGCTGTTTATTTTATATATAGCAGTGTGCATCCGTTTATCCCATACTCCTGATTTATCCCACCCACAACTCTGCTTTGGTAACCTTTGGACCACCTCTCTTTATATTGTATTTTTTTTTGCATATTTAACAGATAGTAAATTTTCAAAAACTTTTAGTGGATTAATAATACATTTGTGAAAATCTGAGGTCAAAATACATCCCCACTAACCTTTCTGCGAGTCATATAATCATCAATCATTATTTGAGTTACTGACATTATTTACATGTCACATCTTTCTGAAAAAAATTGAGCTCTCTGACAAGAGATTCCATCGTATCCTCACGGTGACGCTAAGACAGCCAGAGTCACACAGCACAGACGAAAAGGCAAAAAGTAAAAACACGAAAGACATCACCCACCACTGAATGCTACAGCATCACTTAAAAGCCCCTCGATATTCCAGCGTTCTCTTGTAGCTGCCGTGTTTGTTCCACTGAGCATGTCTCCCCTTCCCCTTCAAACAGGGGCTGTAGGAAGACCCTGGTAGGGTATCTTGGCCTCTGGATTCCACCAGGGTCATATTTAGAACTTGGCTGGGGCAGCGCTCGGCTCCGTGCACCCCTCCCTGACCAGCATTCTGCCTGGCGGAGCCTGCCAGGTGCCTGATTGCACAGGGAGGGATGGGATCACTCAGTGTGACAGTCAGGAGAGATTTCACAGATCACAAGTGTTTGCAGAGACTCGTCACAGCCGAGCCATGGAAACGTGGCTGCCATCTTCCCTGTGCTGGGGTGGCCTGCCAAGCAGGAGTCCAAGGTCACACGACAGCACTGCTCCTTTGGACCAGTGCCCACTGGAAAGAAATACCTCGAGCTAGACCACTGGTAAATACTGCTTTTTGAAAAAAAATCCAGACTCCGTTCTTTACCTGATCAGCCAGGAAGCACAGGGAAATTGGAGTTTAACATGACTTGGTGGATAATCAGCCTTTAAGTAACGACATTTTTACAGTCCGTCCTCGAAGGAGTACAATGCCAACTTTGTTGGGAGGCAGATGGTAGGGGAAAAGGTGGATGTGAATCTGATCATTTAGCAGGCAAATTAATTTATGTGACAATAACCAGCCTCCAAATTGGGTTTATTGACTCATTACATTTTCTCCCTATGAAATTTAGTAAAATGCCAAACTCTACATTTTAAAGGAGCTGAAGGTTATTTTCTCATTTTGAAAGGGGCACATTCAGCATTTGTTAGGATCTGCATTAACAATATTCCCACAGCTTCAAGCTACTGGGTGATTTTTCTGTAGTTTCTGGATAAAACATTTGTAGTAAACTTGTGGTCCCCTAGGCAATGCTTAATTAATCTTGAAAATAATCCGTTGTTTAATTGCTGGATCACTTTTTGGGGGAGAGCCCAAGTAATTAAAAAAAATGAAACAGACCAGTAAAGCCTCACATTATTTTGATCAGGAAAGAAAAGAAGGGAGAAAAGGAAAGAAGAACGAGGCGAAATGTTAACGCTGTCGAGCTGCCCCTCAAGTCTGCAGGTTCTGCGCTAAAGGAAGGTTGTCTTGTGTGACCTGCCGGAGCCGAGTTAATGAGAAGGAAGGGCTTGACTGCAGGAAACCAAGAAGGGATGCCGGAGCACGGACACCGCTGAGCAGCCTGTGTGGGGGCTGAGCACTGACTCTCTAAGCGCCGACCCCTCAGACCGGGAATCTCGGGCCGGCCCCGCGTGGCAGCCTCAGGGCGACCCAGCCGTGGTGTCTCTGACGCCGGAGTCGGGGACAGGCCGCCGGTGTGGGGGCGTCACGAGGGTCTCGGGCGGGTTCACCAGGGCCCTCCTGGCTGCAGGTTCCTGGACCAACTCATCTCAGCCTGTACAAAGCCACATCTCCCCCAGACTCTCTCGCTGTAGCCTTTGCCGGCCTGCCCAGGCCGGGAAGGCTGGGCGGAGGTCTCCTTCATGCCTGCAGCACAAAACGACGGGCACGGTAGCCACGCTTTTAGGTTTACTCTACAACAAAAAATATCGCGGGAATACATGCTGTCGACAGAGATGTGAACAGTGTGGAGGGATCCAGGCCGGTGAGGGCTCACTCCCGTTTCCCCAGAGGCGGCTCTGGGTGCCGGCCCTGCGCTCTGTCTTCCCGCACAGGGTCTGCACGTGCCGCTGCTTGCTGCCTGCTTTCCAGGGGAGCAGGCTGGCGCTGTAGCGCCGTCCTCCACTTTGCGTGATTTACAGAAGAGCATGTGTGTTCCCAGAATGGCGCTGCATCACACTGTCTTTTCACGGCTGAATAATATTCCTGGAGGTGAGTGCTTCTGTTTCGTGTGTCCAGGCCTTTTCGTTTCCTCCTCTGAGATGGAAGAAAGAGGACAAGGACATAGCTTCCTTGCTGTGGACAGAAACTCGAACCAGCATTTTCTCATGTCTTGCCCAGAAGGAAGATCTGGCAGGAGACACAGGAAAACAAGCATCGCAAAGCTTAAGTGAGGTTAACAATGTTTAATGTATTTAGAGAGCAGTTGTGAATGAAAAACATGGCAGCCGTATCAGTGAACAAAGGAAGCTGCGGCCAGCAAGCCATCAGCCACTACCGCCCCCGACAGGGAGCAGAGGGCTCCGGATGGGGACGCGCAGGCAGCCTGGCCTCTGCCGTCCCTGCCACGGTGGCCTCGCAGGGGACGCAGGGTGGGGAAGAACAGGGCACCGGCTCCAGACAGCTGGGTGCACATCGAAGGAACGATTTCAATGACCCCAGACCTTTGCAGCTTCCCATACGTAGAAAAGCATTAAATTGCCATCTGGGACAGTCTCTCTGAGTGACCTGAGGGGCCGCCTTCCAGGTCCCAGTCCTCAGAGAGTCTGCTGCGTAAGCAGAGCTCTCAGCTTCTAGGCTGCGCGGTTCTCAGGCCACACAGCCCACCCGGCAAATCATCTCTGTAAAATGCTCTCAGGCTGGTCTGCCCAGGGTGTCCCCTTGGAGGCGCCCTCCATCATGACGCCCTCACTGTGGGCCTCCTCCTGGCCCAGGGTCTCCCGGGTGGGCTCCCTCCCCTCTGCTCCCTGCCCTTCCTCACCTTGAACATGGCCCAGGCCGTTCTGCCCACGACATGGGTCACGGCTCCCTGTGCTCCGGGACCACTGGCGCTCTCACGGCAGGCGTGGGTGGGCCCTGAGCCTGTGCGGTGATGCGTGCGGCCCCTCAGCCCAGCCTTAGTCAGAGCCGAGGACGGATGCTCTGACCCGGCGTCTCACCCTCGTCCGGCTGTGAGGTCGTCCAGGCCGTCCTGGCCCCTCCCCGCCCCTCGGTTTCCTCATCCCCAGAAGAGGGATCGGGACCTGTCACCTCCGGTTAGTCTCCATCGCGAGACTCAGCCCACGTCGCTGCTGATCCACGGGCTGAGCGGCTCGGACGGCCAGGCCAGCCCTCAGATCGCAGGCTGCTTCCTCACTCCAGCACAGGTTAAGGTCCTCTGAAGGCTGTTGCATCTGTTTTGAACATGGGGGTGCTGATGTTGGTTGACGCCCGGAAACCTGCGGACCAGCTGGCCCCGGCGCCCTGGCACCGCTGATGGTGCTCGCAGGAGGGGCTTCTGCCGGCGAGGCCGGTTTTAATCAAGCTGCATCGGAAATGCAGTTCACCCCTCCTGGGCGGAAAAGAGTGAGTCCCCACTGGGTGGACGTGCAGTGCTGTAACGCCGAGCTCTTTAAACGCTTTCAACGGGAGGTAAAACTCTTTCATCCAACGACCTTGCATCAGGGGCCCCTTGCCCATCCCCGTCCTAAGGCCACGTGGTGACTGAGATGGCTTAGAGCTGAGTGGGGAAGCCAGCAACATGACATTGTGTGACAGTGTGGCCAGTGTCCCCACAGAAGCCCTAAAGGAGTCCATGGAGGGGAAAGGACACGAGTGACCGGGGTGAGGGAGGGACAGTCACGAGGAAGTTGAATTTGTAGCTGTGGCTTTTAGTCCTTTGTTTTGGTTCTTGGCAGTGAAAAGGGTGTGGGGAGGAAGTCGGAGCTAGAGTGTAGAGTTACCATCAGTACAGACTCCCCTTTTCCTCGCCCCTCTCCCCAGGCAGGAGTGCCTGTTGGCTGGGACCGGGCGATAAACCCCGTGGAAAGCATGGCCTTCCTGCAGCGTACGTCCCGGCGTCTTGGCGGCGGGAGAGCCGGGGTGGCAGGGTCTCAGACAGAAACGAGAAAGCTGCAGCCATGGTGGCTTGCGAGCCACAGCCCATCCTGCTGGATCCAGGGGATTTTTGTTACCACAGTTGACGTTTGAGTGGTGATAACTGTGTGCACTTGGCCGTTCCTCCAGTTTGGAGCCAGTGGGGA